TATTTCATCTCTTCTTATGGCTGAGTAATATTCCATTGTATATATGTACCACTGCTGCATTAGCCAATCATCTATTGTAGGACACTTCGATTGCTTCCATGTCCTGGCCACCGTGAATAATGCTGCTATGAACATCGGTGTGCAAATATCTTTTCGAATATGAAACTCAGTAGATTTTAAATAGAAGAACCTGTATCGAATGGATTTGGAGGTACAAATGGTTTCACATTCTAGAAAAGTTTTTAATTGACTGATAATGGAACTGGTTTGGTTTTGTAACCACGTGTCAGTGTTTGCTCGCCTTGTTTGAACTTGATTATGAATTCCGTGAAGGCCGCCAACTGTCCTCTCCTATGTTAAAATGCCAAGAATCTTGTGGGTGCTTTATATATTAACTGATGATGATAAAAAAGGGAAAAAATGACATTCATCCAGTCCTAGAGCCTTGAATTACTCAGTCCTCTGAGTTATGCTTAGCTTCACAGATTTAGTAAGGTCACCACACAAGTATAAGAAGAAACCATAGTAGAGTATAGTGAAAAAAAGACTTGAGGAGCAGATGTCAGTAGGTTGGATTCTGTACTGTCACCTTATAGCTGTGCAACCTTGAACCTGATTCTTCATCTATAAAATAAGGATAATAATATTTTCCCATAGAGTTGTTTGGATTATTAAATAAATTAACTATGTGTGATGTCAAACAGTTTACAATTTCCAAAATATGACATGCTGTTTACTGCTTCCATATCTGTACCTGGAAGCCTGAATCTAGAATAATCATCCCTTTCATATCCACACTTTGCCTCTCTTGTTGTTTGGCAAGTTCCTGGTCTTCCAGAAAGACACGACTCAAGCACTAAATTATTTGTGAAGCCAGTCTTAACCCAAAAAATGGTAGATAGATATGGTTACTTAATGTTGAGTGAATATCTGGAACCCAATAAGTGCTAAATATATGTTTGTTTTTTCATTACTATCCCCTTCTCTGCTTAATCCCAACAATTCTTTCTTTAAGTGACTTGTTAGATATTGTTAATTCTCTTCTTCTTAAAATCTTTCATAGTCAATTGAAGGGATGTATAACCCTCCTACTTGGAAAGAGGGAGCGGATAATTGCTAACAATAATTACAATCTACCAAAAAAAGCAACAGGTAGCTTATTTCAAATACAAAAAGAAAATTGAAGGAATATACTACCCATGAGTTCTTTGTGAAAAATTACTTGGCAGTATGAAATCAAATCAAATAAAAAATGAGTCAAAATAAAAGAATTAAGGATGGATATTTTGTAGTGAGCCTATCTATTTAAATGGAGGACTAAGATCAAACAAGAAGGTTGAATATGAATATGTGACAGAATGAAACCACTATAAACCCTGACAATAAAAATCCATTCATTCATATGTTCATTAAATACATACCATTTAGTACCTACTCTGTGCCAGGCAATGTCCTAGGCACTATGGGTCCAGTCATCATCAAAATGAAGTCTGTCTTCATGAAACTTAGATTATAAAGGGAGAGACATACAATAAACATGTGTATCTATTATCTAAATATATAATATCAGATACTAATGAGTACTATGAAAAAATAAACTGTAAAGGAATAGAGAATGGTAAGTGTGCTATTTCAGATAGCATGGTCAGGGATCGTCTCTCTGAAAAGATGATGTATGAGCAGAGAATAGAATGAACTAAGGGTAAGAGCCATGCAAATATCATGTTGCATTATTATTGTATGAGACATACTAATACTAAAATGTTATTCATTGTGTATCTGAAATTCAAACGTAAGTGGGCCTACTGTAATCTTTCTTTTTGCTAAATCTGACAACTTTAAAATAAACACACTGTTAGATGCTCAGGAAATACTTTGAATACTTTGTATCTTTTCTTCCTATCTCATTTTGATTTTTCTTTTAATTGAAGATAGACGCAAAAAATATGTACAGTTGATCCCTGAACAATGGGAATGGGATTTGGGGCGCCAGCCTCCCAGGCAGTTGAAAATCCACATATAACTATGACGTAATTCAACCTGAGTCATTCCTATATATTCTATGTGTACATATGTATGCACATATTTGTGCATACATTATGTATACACACATACATACATGAGACACAGTAGCACCCAATAGTATAGAATATGTAACATGCATGCACAGAAAGCACCTGAAACACAAGTAGAATTATCTGTATTGTTGATATGGCCGTTCTGAAATATACCCTCTGGTCTGTCATCTTTTCCTTCAGTTATTTCAAGTACAAGGCTGAGAAAGACATGGTCTCTGGTCCAATTTGGACCTGGCGAGCCCCATGCGGAACCGGAAAAATGCCTCCAACTGGTTGCAGCATCGGCTTGTTTACACGGATACACACGCTCCTTTCTTGTCGGCTGGAGGCCACGTAGGCCTGGGGAAAGATTTTACCGAAGGACCCAGAAAGGTTTCCGTGGTTTCCGTAGCTTTGGGAGGTTGCGCAGCGGCCGGTTCTGGGAATCAGGTGGGTTCCTAGGCTCAAGAGAGTGTTCCCTATTTTCGCAGCAACAATGACTCCGTTGTTTCGCGCGCCGCCGGGAGGAGGAACAGGAGGGAGGCTTCGGGCTTCAGGGAGAAGCATCCCAGTTCATCCAAGAGCCCGGAGCGCAGCAAGTCCGCCCGCTCCCCGCGGGACCGCTGCTCTCTCTAGCACTTCTGCTCTCGGTCAGGGGGACCCGAATGGCCTTGGGCATCAGCGGGGACGCCTCAGCCAAGGCTCCCCAAACCGGCCCTACTGCTCTGGCTGGTGGTATCATTCGCGAGAGCAGCCCTCGGTACCGCTGCACCTTCTTCGTTTCTGCTTCTTCGGGCCGCCTATTGCGGTCCCTGCGGGAGCGACAACCGGTGGCCTAGCCTCCTGGAAAAGGACAAGGAGGATATGTGAGAAGGAAGCGCCTTCGCTCTGAGGAGTGCATCGGGCTTCTAAGTCCGTTTCATCTTTTACCCTGCTTTTGATCGTTTGCATTTCGCTCTCTTTTGCCCTCCTTGCGCCCATTTTCATTTTTTCTTCAGTCTATGCATGGCAGCCCCTTATTCTCCCTTTTCCTTCTTTAATTCTCACTCATCCTTGAGCCCCTTCAGACAGTGCCCTGATCTTCCTCCACCCCTTTACACCTCGGGTCTTTTAGCGGATATGGCCCAGGTTCGCCGACCTATGTATAGCATTTATTTGCTTTGTACTATCATTTATGAACATGTTTCTATTTTCCACTAGACTTAGTGGAAAGAAAGAACCCTGTGAGTTATTCATCACAGAATTCGCAATGTTTATCGCTTAGTAAGAGCTCAGCCATTGTGTGTTAAATGAATGAACAAATCAGCTTGAGATGATAACGGGATGTGTAAGTGGAAATTCTTTGTTGGGAATTGGAAAGGATTGAGGTTAAGGGTTTAAATTGAAAAACGGGAAAACCTTCCTTCAATATGATTGAATG